TGCAAGTTCAACCTCCGATTCTTCTAACTTCCTCCGCGTTTCTTCTCTCGCTCTGCCTCCCCGTCCTTCTCTATCTACCAGCGATCTCCCCTTCTTTGCTCCCCGTATTCCTCTCTGTCTTCTTTTCAATCGAGTAACCGTCTCCTCCCTTCCTTACGCTCCGTACTCTTTCTTCGTTTCTTCCCTGCACCGCTTTGTGCTGCGGATCATCCATCGGCAAAGCCCGCCAAAATTGTATCAGCTGTCCTGAATTTTGCTCCGCTTGTCAAGTACGTGACGTATGCTGCTCTTCTCCGTCCTTCTGTCTCCTCGCCAGGTAAGCATCCTCCCATGGGAGAGAGGAGAAAAAAGGGTCAGCGAAATTTTACAATGCCCGGGCTATTTACGGACGATGCAGCGACGCTTTTCGAATTCATTTTTAACGAGATTATCGATCATCGCGATTCTTCTTGCCGCGTGAACGCGTATTGTTTTGATCTACGCCTTCTGTTTCGCGAGACGGTTTTCCGTCGATCTGTCTGTTAGCTAATCGATCGATCGATTATCGCAATTTTCGGGAATTGTCGAAATCTATCGATAGTTAACCCCTTGACCTAGACTATCCTGTCAAACTCGTGATGGAACTGTTTTCAACTGAATCTGAGAATGTGAGTGTTATTCGTTCTCTTTAATTACAAATTGAATATTACTTCTCTATCATCAATCGTTAACCTTTAGAGTAAACATAGCATCGAAATTCTTTCTAATAAATTATTAACTATAAAGTTGTATCGATCTCGATTAAGAAATAAATATAGAGCAAGAGGTTAACACTAGAACTACCATACCAGTCGAAATGACTGACGTTTTTGTCGTTTAACAATCATTGCTATCTTCGAAGCACTGAATATCCGAAACGATTTTGAAAATAGTTTCATTTCAACTATAACGAATATATAAGAAATAAATATAGAGCAAGAGGTTAACACTAGAACTACGTACCAGTCAAAATGGTTTCTATTTTTTCATTTAGCAATTATCGATATCTTCGAAGCATTGAATATTCGAAGCGATTTTGAAAACAGTTTCATTTCAGTACTATAACGAACGTCCGAAGAAACTGAAAGCAATCCATCGTCACAATTTTCATGGGAATCTTATATTAATCGTATTAAATGCTCGGCAGTTCCAGTGTTAAGAACAAAACGAAATTTCCTCCGCGCGTCTACCCCAGACTCGGCACCACCGTCGTACCCTCGACTCTAATAAAACTTCGACGATGATTTTCAGTTACGTCAGAAGCGCATAAATAAAATTCTCCGCGTAAACGGACACTTGGCGGTCTCGCTCTCGTGCCCGTGATAGGTGGCAAATCTTTCAAATGTTCGACAAGCTGTCGGTGGTACGCGTTCGTTCTCCACCTGGAACAGCTGAACCTTGCGTTCAGCACGTGCTTCTGTCATCGTGTCATAAGTTGTAACCCGCGTTGGCTGGCGTAGGGGTGGACCGGTAAAACGTGAGAAACAAATGATGCTTAAACATCAATTCACTCTCTCTCTCGAGAAAAATCCCAATCAAAATTTCTATACAAAAAATCCCACAAAATTCCTTCAATTTCCAATAAATATCCATCATCCTTCTAAGTGGCGTCGAGCAACATCGTGCGACGCGTTACGCAACGGAATATTAAAATAATCCACGGTAATAAGGCGCGGACAATTGGAAAACGTTGGTCAGTGTTATTGTTCCGAGGAGCGGTGACACACGTGCACCGCGGACGGGAAGGAAACGGGAGTGATTGAGAACCACTTGTAGGAGGACAGCTGCGCGGTGAGCGCATCTGCTGTCGGTTGCGCGGGCACGCGCGCTTACATATCCTTATTCCTACGTCGGTACTATACCCTATATACATACTACATAGAGATGTACGCCGGCGAACGCCGTACGATACTCCAATACAGTCTCCTCTGTTCTCCTTATTTCCACCTTTAGCCGGGCCGGTTCCGTCCTTTTTTCGCGCGTTGCTTTCTCCTATCGTGTTTTCCCTTTCCACCTTTATTTTTCTTCCGCGCGCGCGTTCGGCCGCTCTCCTTTCTCCCCCTGCCCTTGGCTCATTTCAGCGGGCTCCTTTTTTTCCCACCCCTCGTAACGCAAGCGCTCGAATCCCGTTTCCGACGCATACCTCCCAGCGAACGCATCTTCTCTAGTATTGAGGGTTGACGGACCGTCATCTTCCCCTTAATACCATTCGGAACGAGGATTTACAATCCGTGAGAGAGAGAGAGAGAGAGAGAGTGAGAGGATCTACTCGTGTTTATGGCGTACACGACGGTTGTCTGGTTTCGAAAGCCTCGTGCGCCTAGTTCATAATACCCTGCAGGGCTTATACACGAACGCTGGGCGAGGAGGCTTTGCACGGTGCAAGCGTATTGGCCTGCAGCTTGCCACCCGGTACCGTCCTGCACCGTACCACCCGAAAATTTTCTTTGTCCTCATTGTCCCGGCCATTTCCACCGTACGAGTTTACGAGCCGACCGCTTCTTAGAAAATCAAGGATTTTCTCCGCCGAGGATTTTCCCATCTGCCCGCCTTCTTCCGTTCCACTTCATTCCGTTCCGTTCTGTTCTGTTCTGTTCTGTTCCGTTCGGTTCTGTTCTGTTCTGTTCTATACCTTTCCTTTCCCTTTTCTCTTCTCTTGTCTTCTCGCACAGTCCTCTCCCTTCCCTTCGCATCCCATTCCCCTCTATCCTTCCATTCCCTTCCCATCCCATCCGTTCACTTCCTTTCTTCTTTCTCCCGTGTTCATTCTTACGAACACCCTGCACTACCTCTTGGGATTTTCAGTTCGGCCTCTTTGTCGCTTTGCATACCTGCCCTCGTTTAAGAAAACCGATTCAACGATCGCCGGGGCGAGACTATGGCTTCCACGGAGCACTGATTTTTGCGTTTATATGTACCCGAAACAAACTCGATAGCAAATGTCTTATCTTGTGATCGTTTCGTTTCTGCGACACCGTGGAATTTGGTTCCTCGGATGTTCGAGTTTCGATCGATTTCAGGCGAAAGAGAATGAAAATCGTTCTATTTTCATCGTTCCCGAGAGATGCCTCGGTACTTGTCCATCGACATATGCCGCTAAACGGAACGAAACGGAATGGAATGAAATTTAGTGGCATCGATGCGCCGTACATGCTTCACACCATAGGGCCCAGATGGCAAGCGTCGAATCCCTTGCTTAAATTTTAACCATGATACGACGTTGTTGGTTTCTGGGCCACCTGCTCTACGCGTAGATCGAAGCCATTCGGAAAAAATCCCCGAGCAAACGAAAATACAGGCGGTCAAGGGCTGGAAATCATGAAGCTGCATCGTCTAACGTCGAAGTTACACACGCGCGTAACTTCTACAATGTGTCCGTTGATATCGTTTCGAAGATACAAAATGTATATCTAAGTTTCCTCGATAAGTTCGGTGATAAGCCGATCGATTCATCGAATTTTCGTCGTAATATTACTGCGATGCAACGCGCGACGCATCGCGACGATTTTCGTTGCGCGGCAATGCGTGTTTATGCGACTGTTAAAATCAATGCCACGATAGAATCACTATCAAACGATATTCTCACGGGCGAACTCGACGCGTCTGCCCTGCTGATTTATTTCCTCGGAGCTTGTAGTTAGAAAAAAAACCTATTGAAATACTGCACGGTAAAAAACGGTCGTTTCAGGCGACGTTACACTTTGGGACGGGTTTCAAAAGATCTTTGTTCCCGTCGAGGAAGTGAATCCGTGGTCGAACGAAAGCGTGTTTGTACCCCGCGTACACGAATACTTTATATCGTGTGCAACCGGAAGTTAAACATACATAATGTTACTGGGTGCGCCGGTTTGTGCTATTTTTCGCTTCACTGGCAAATAAAAACAATGTAATGATTAATCAAGACTCTGAATGTAAACGTAGATTCGCGTTCAACGTTGAATCTGTGTTCTGTTCGATTGGAATTTTGGAAAATCTTGTGAGGCTATTATTTTTCAGTTGATTGTTGTTTTTATTCGAGATATTTTTGCTTTCCCAGATGTTAACCGTTAGTCGAAAGGGTTGACCTGAATTCGTTTCACAAATGTGAGATAAGATTGAAGAAAGAATGTTAAATTTAATTTCCGTTTGATCTGTGATTTACTGTTCGTATTTTTTTATTGAAAGCAATAAAAGTCGATCGAAGAGTAATCTGGTGTCGGTAATGTAGAATTTATGTTAAATGTTTGTGTCGGTGAAATGGCGACCATGAAAGGGACTCTTCTGTTATCGATCGAGGGTACGAAGAATAAAAATTTCAGGGCGGGAACTGAATCGAGGAAAAAGTAGGTCAAATCCTTTCACTTTTAGAAATTGTGGCGAGACCATGCTTAAAAAGGAGGAAATATCCCGTTAAATTACTGCGTTTCACGTTCCCGGAGGATAAACACTGTTTTTCGACGGATATCACGTTGTTTGAAAGGAAGCCGCAGTGAAATCATTCGTGTATTTCTTAAGATTATCGAGGTTAATACCTGTACGAAATGTTTAATCGATTGTAATCAGTGAAATGTAAACAGTGAGAGTTATTTTGTATTCGAATATTTTAACGTTCCATGTCAAATGTTACCTCTTTCTAGTAAATTATTCAGCAATTAACAATGTCTAAAATAAAAGATAATACCGTTCAAGTGGTGTTTGTTTCTTTGCTTCTTGATCTTTTAGCATTTACTATGATACTACCGTTGTTACCGGCGTTGTTAGATTATTACAAAGATGTAGAAAGTGATCAAGGTCTATACTTTAAGATATTACATTACATACAAAGCACAAGGAAAATATTTAATGCTCCTGACAAAGTGAGTACAGTGCTTTACGGAGGTTAGTCTATTATTTTTCTCTTTTTATTTTAATTCAAATTACACGTGGATCTACGTCTATGCAGGCAATTTCACTTACAGGCTTCCTTGGTTCCATGTATTCGTTTTTACAATTTTTGGGTTCACCCATTGTAGGAGCATTGTCTGATGTTTATGGGAGAAAGCCAATGATGTTACTTTGTTTAACAGGCATCATGTTTTCTTATTTATTGTGGGCATTGTCTTCCAATTTTACTATATTTGTAATAGCAAGATTCGTTGGTGGTATTAGCAAAGGAAATATTAGTTTGTCGATGGCTATTATAACAGATGTCACATCTCCTAAAACAAGAGGAAAAGCCATGGTACATGTAAAAAGAATAAACATAGTAAACGCATAGAATGAAAAATCTATATATCTATTCCTTGTGTTTTTTAGGCATTGGTTGGCATAGCCTTCTCCATAGGTTTTGTTCTAGGACCAATGATAGGAGCATTTTTTGCTTGGAATTCAAGTAATAATAGAGAAGGAACTTGGTATATAATACCTGCTGTTTTTGCTCTTTTCTTAGCAGCAAGTGATTTATGTTTTGTTGTTTTAAATTTAAGAGAGTCTTTGCCAATGCAATGTAGAGCAACAAGTTTAAAGTGTGGTATATCCGGAGTTATTGCTTATATTAATCCTATAGATCTGTTTCATTTTAATGGAGTATCTGGCATAAGTTTGCAAGGTGAATTTATTTGACTTATCATGTTATAAATTTTGATATAATAATTAAATTTACCGATATTACTGTTTCAGATAAAAATAATTTGAAAACACTGGGCTATGTATATTTTATGTACTTATTCCTTTACAGTGGCTTAGAATTTACATTAACATTTTTAACTCATTACTTATTTGAGTTTACAAGCATGCAACAAGGATGGATGTTTTTAGGAATTGGATTAGTTATGGCTATTTTACAAGGAGGTTGGGTACGAACAATTTCTCCAAATAAAACAAAAGCCACAACAGAATTGGTAAATGCATATAGAAATCGGTACAAAGACATTACAGATTTCCTTGGAATCTTATAAAGTGAAATATATTTTGTACAGGGATTATGGTTAATAATTCCAGCATTCGTATGTATTGGAATAGCAGAAGATCTGCTATTGTTGTTTATTGGTGTACTTCTGTTTGCAATTTGTAAGTGTATTATGATATGATATATATGTATAAAGCACTAACATAGTTACATACATAGGATGAAGAATATTAACTTAAATAACATGCTAATTATGTCACTATGCAGCTACTGCTATGGTTGTTACTTGTATGATGACTCTTGTATCGCGAATTGGGCCTGAAAATCAGAAAGGTGTAATAACAGGTGTATTTCGTTCTCTTGGGGCATTAGCTAGGGCATGTGGGCCTATTGTATCTTCTTCAGGTAATAATGGTACACATAATATTTACATTTATCGATGTAACTTCATATATCATGCTCACTATTTTTATTCTAGCTTTTTGGTATATTGGAAGTAAAACAACATATCTTATTGGAGCGATACTTCTTATATTTCCACCCCTTGTTCTTCGCAAAATAGATTCCCTTTAAAAAGGGAGTGACAAAACAAAGTTACCTCTGGAGACATTGCACTCATATAAGTATATATACATATATATATATGTATTGAAACAGTATTTTTATATAGTTAAGTGAATCTTTTACAATTTTTTAAAGAAAGTATTTTATATATTTATTGTATATTAAAAGAATTATATAGTTTAAAGTACATATGCTCTAGTATTTTCAATGTTATGCCAGTATTTTATAGGATAGAAAGAAACCCGCTATTCGCTAGATGCGTGAAACTCGTGTATAGAAATATGTTTATTTTTACGCGTTGATAATACCTATCCTTGCGATAAACCGAGTAAATAGTATTGATTTGCAATAGAAAATTCGAAGATTAATGTAGCGGACACGTATCAATGCGCGTTTCCATGTGTGTAACGTTCCTGGGAAAATCGTAAGCTCGCGCAAGCGCGATTAAGCGTTTAATCACGTGACCCTTCCCTCTCTTTAGGACGCGCCATTTACGGTAAGAAATTCTCGGAATTGCTTGGCCACGGCACTTCGTCGATGTTCGTGCTGATGGGAGTAACGCAGAAGGGAGAAGGAAAGTTATTGATGATATTCGCGCGTGCGACCGGTCTCCGCGATCATTACGTTTACGATTACTGGGCGATAGGCTAGTTTCCATCGGTTCAAAGGTTACGTTTCGAACGAATTGAGCGTATCGGATAAGGAAATACAGATAGCGGGTAAATCCTAGTTGCTTCTGTCTTCGGACTAGCAGCAGGTGAGTGCAGAGTGCAGGCTATTCTTTGAACGGAACATCTTTTTCTTTCGCCCCTCCCGCTCTCGACTATTTTACGCGTTATTTCGATACGTCACGTTCCGTTGCTTGTAAATACCGATACCCGTACCTTTTGTATTAATTTCGATCGAAATATCGGACTATTCAACGAAATAACGATAATCTCGTGTAAATTGTACAAATAATTTCATATATTACACACTAAAGAGAGTTTCCGTGTTGGTCTTTGGTTTTCAGCAGTATGTATTCACATGCGTTTTCAACGATCTTATCAACCATTTTTTTTTTTACAATCCCGTAAATCACTCCTGTGTTTTGCAGTTTCGCATGAAATGAAATCTTTTGAGGAATCTTCCCAATTCTACGTGTATTAAATATAGAAATAATAGTTTGTAGAGTAGTCTTATTTTGTGGTTATATTGTTTTCTGTTTGGCGCTGGGTAACTGTTGTCGTTAATAAAAATTGTTATTATCTACCTTGCGATTTCTGAATTCTGTCGGTATTAAAAAGATTTTTAATTATTTTAAGGTAAAGAGTTTTCATTAGGAATCAAAATGTCTCTGTGGGCGAAAGCACAACAGTTGCCACAGGATGCGTTGCAACAGGTGCGTTCAGTTTATGGAGAGCACTTTCCAATAGAAGTTCGGCATTTCTTATCCTCTTGGATAGAAGAAAAGATGTGGTAAGGCACTTGTACTCTACTTTCTGAATTATCGACTTCTCGTTTGGTTCTTTTGAAATTTATAATAAAATGTGCATTGTAGGACTGACATAGAACCTGAGAACCCGCAACACGAACAATATATAACTAATCTTGTTATATCTTTAATACAAGAATTAGAATCTAAAGCAGCATCTCTAAACACAGACGATATGTTTCTTACAAAGATAAAATTAATGGAAGCCGCAAAAAATTTTCGTGTAAGTTTCTTTAATAATCGTGAAATGATAATTGGAAAGACCAATATGCATATAAGAATTTATTATTAATATGTATTTTTTTCTAATGCAGCAGAGGTATACTCACAATCCAACAACATTGTTTAGAATAATTAGACACTGTTTGGGGACAGAGATGAAGTTAGTAGCCCAAGTAGAAAATTTGGGAGGAGCTTTAATGAGTATGGCTGGTGGTAAAGTTGGTTTAATAAGCGATGCTGTTGCTGAAATAGCCCAGCACGTAGAATCATTAAGGCGTAGAACACAAGAAACTGGAGAGGATCTGCGAAAAATGGAGCAAGAGCAAGAAGCTTTTGCCATTAGTTATCACGAGTGTACCAAATTAAATGCACATTTGCAGCATCTTGCAACTCAACCACAAAGTCAACAGAACGCAGACTTGGAGAAAAAAATTAGAAGACAAAAGGAACAGCAGGAACAAGTACTGAATCACAAGGTGACTGGTTTGATGCAGTTGAGGTTGACATTAGCCGATAAATTGAAGGATACTATTACTAGGCTAAATAGCTTGCAGTCTAGAGTCTTAGACGACGAGCTCATTAGATGGAAAAGAGATCAACAATTAGCAGGGAATGGTGCACCATTTAACAACAATCTGGACTCCATTCAAGAGTGGTGCGAAAGTCTGGCCGAATTAATTTGGCTGAACCGTCAGCAAATCAAGGAGGCTGACCGTTTGAAGCAAAAATTTGCGCTTGAGCCGCCCGGAATGCAAGATATTCTTCCCTCGCTAAATTCAGAGATTACGCAGCTTCTTAGTTCCCTAGTAACCAGTACGTTTATCATAGAAAAACAACCACCGCAAGTAATGAAGACCAACACTCGTTTCACGAGCACGGTGCGTCTTCTTGTTGGCGGAAAGTTAAATGTTCACATGACGCCCCCTCAAGTGAAAGTTAGCATTATTAGCGAGGCTCAAGCGAATGCTCTCCTGAAGAATGATAAAATGGCAAAAAGCGGAGAAGCCAGTGGCGAAATTCTGAATAATACAGGAACAATGGAGTATCATCAGGTGAGAAGCATTTAATTTTCAATGTCATTAAGCATAAGTAGTATAATGTTTATATGTCTCTATACACATATCTGTCCAGTGAATGTAAGAAACGAGACTTTTGTTCTACAGGCAACGAGACAACTCTCTGTGAGCTTCCGCAATATGCAATTAAAAAAGATCAAAAGGGCAGAGAAGAAGGGAACAGAGTCCGTGATGGACGAAAAATTCTCACTGTTCTTCCAGTCGCAATTCAGCGTTGGCGGAGGCGAGTTGGTATTTCAGGTTTGGACGCTGAGCTTGCCGGTCGTAGTGATTGTACACGGAAACCAAGAACCACACGCATGGGCCACTGTCACGTGGGACAATGCTTTTGCCGAGCCTGGAAGGGCACCGTTCGCGGTACCCGACAAAGTTCCTTGGGGTCAGGTAGCCGAAGCGTTGAACGTGAAGTTCCGCTCGGCAACGGGCCGTTCGTTAACGGAAGACAATTTTCGGTTTCTCGCGGAGAAAGCGTTTCGCGGCGGTAACGCGGCCGGTCAAGATTATTCCGGTTTACTTTTAAGTTGGGCACAGTTCTGCAAGGAGCCATTGCCCGAAAGGAACTTCACATTTTGGGAATGGTTCTACGCTGTAATGAAGCTGACGAGGGAGCATCTGAGGAGCCCGTGGATCGACGGTTACATACTGGGATTTGTCAGAAAGAAACAGGCGGAGGAGATGCTGTCGAATTGCGCTTCAGGAACGTTTCTGATGCGATTCTCCGATTCCGAGCTCGGCGGGGTTACCATCGCATGGGTAGGAGGTAAAACGTTTGGTTTCCCTTGGGAATTGTTTTGTGTCGAATCCTTGTAAAACTCGATCAATGTGAGTGTCCAATTTGTCTACAAAGCATGTACCTTTCAGATCAAACGGAGGTGTTTATGTTGCAACCGTTCACAAGCAAGGATTTCGCGATTCGTAGCTTGGCGGACCGTGTGTCCGATCTGCAGCACTTGTTGTACCTCTATCCGGACCTGTCGAAGGATCAGGCGTTCTCGAAATACTACACACCGTTCACAGGTAAATGTTACTTTGATTGGTTGGTTGTTTCTCTGTACATTCCATGTGCTTGAAACTTGAAAGGGGACGTTGCACGATTTGTCGTAGACAATCAATCTACGTCGACGAACGGATACGTGAAACCTTTCTTAGTAACGCACGTACCTGGTTGGGGTGGACCGGTCGTTGGTGGTCAGACACCGTCGCACTCGTCCGTAGTTGGGGTAGGCAGTAGCGGTCAGAGTGGTCCAGGTGGTAGTTATCCTGCAACGCCATCCACCATGTTCCAAGCGCACAGTCCCGACCCGTCCGTGACGCGCGATACTCCATCAGTGGCTTCCAGGTCAGTTCCCTGGATCTAAGCTGTCAATCGTATTTCATTCATTTACTAATACTTAGTGATTACCATAAGTTACTGCCATAGATATACACACTTCGTACAAGATATGCAAAGATTCCGCTTTTCTCGCTTTTGTATGTACATTGTACTTAGAGGAGAAACCGAAGAA